CCAGCTATGTTAGGTACCAAACTCACATTAGGGGAAGAAAGGTGGCTAGGCATGTTGATGACCACACTATTCCCTTATTTGATGAGATAAATGAAACCGATAAGCTGCCCCATGTGATAATGCTATAATAATGATGTATATCAAGGTGGATTAGTGTGTACTAATATGTACAAAATATCTTTCCTAAACTAAGGTCGTCACGAAGCAGTACCAAGTTAGCAAATAAAATAGCGAATATAATTGAACAAACCTTTGTTGAAACAACGAGTTCTTTTATGAGTTCTAGCTGTAGAAAGTTCGAGAAAGTTCGAATTGATTCCCGATGAAACGTGTTGAAGGCTGATGCCCTTCTAAGCCTTCTAACGGTTTCTCTTTTGTGCCGTTACGGACGAGTGACGCCGCGATTCAGTGCTAAATAAACGTTTTTTTTAACGGAGCTCATTCCTCGGGGCAAAGAGGCTGCTGCTCCGTCCGAGCTCTTTGTAAACGAAGCTTCAACGAACAATCGAATTACGATACCACTTTTTTTGTTTGTTTGCTGATTAAAGGGCATGTAGGGAAATTGTATGCGCCCTGTTTAACATCAATATACGTTTGTGGTCTTTTTTTTTTTAAACTGAGTTAATTTTACTTAAATTCTTAATGTCAGCCTAGTGTTAAATTCTAATTGCATTTTTAATTGCATTTTTTTTTCGGTATTAGCTTTAATCAAATCATGTTAAGAATTATTGAAGATCGATCCTTGAAGATTTATTTACGACGATGTTTTTGAAAGATTTGTTATCTGAACTTTTGAGTGACGTAGCTCATCGGGTGGATATTTTATCAGAAATATTCAATTAAGACACTCCTATATATTTGATTTTTCTTAAAACAATTGTCAAAAAAAATTGTTTAAAAAAAAAAACATCCAGTAATCTATATTCGTGATACGCCATTCTACACTACCCCCCCCCCCCCTCACACACACACACACACAGAGACACTACCTAACCCTCCACACACATCCAAACACATACGCACACATAAATACGTTTTACTCACATGTTTGAACTATATTTAGACACTCGTGAATCAGCTGAAACTCCCAGGGGTTGATTTTCTTGCAAGCCGACCCCCCCCCCTTCAGTTCTCAGTCGATCGAGCCTCTGGCTGGCACCCAGGACTCTTGTACTAATAGCTTTGGGAACGCTCAATTAACCAAACACTGGGGGGAGGGGGGGACGGTCTGGCCTCATTGAGTCTGTGACTGACGGTCCGAGATTCTATTTACTTTAAAGGGAAGAAACTTGGCAGGGATTTGGTTGTTGTTGTTGTTGTGGATGCACTTTTTGCTTGTCCGAGATTCGACTGGTCAGCCACAGTGATTGACCAGTCTTGTCCAAGCGAGGGGAGAGTACCATCTTTACAAAGATGCCATCTTTACAAAAACCTAAGCTGTATTGGGTGATACAGTACGGTTGGGCGACACCAAAAACCAGAGGCGTAGCGACCCTTCCCGGCGCCCGGGGACAAACTTTCGATTTGCACTCCCCCCCCCTCGAACTTTTCATTTGCACCCCCCCCCCTCAAACTTTCAATTTGGCGCCCCCCCCCCTTAGGTCGGCGCCCGGGGACATATGTCCCGTCCCCCCCTCGCTACGCCTCTGCCAAAAACTATAAGTCGCAATATTAAAATGAGAAAACAGTCGTCCGTGCATTTATTAAGCTAATTTTTTTTCAGCACCCGCCACTAACTAATAATGAAAAATGCACATTCGGTCCCATAATCTGGCGTTGGATACCTATGCTGATAAAATATTCGATTTATAGCATTTTTTTTAAATTTATCCTCGACTACTTTGCTAGTACTTAAAAATAAAAAAAATATATATACTTTTAACAATATGGTTTTATATTATTGATTTCTAAACTAAAAATATAATGTATTTATTAGACACTCCAACAGTGCTCTAGGGGAGGTAACCACACTATTATTAAATTCTTTCTAAAAAAAGTTTTACATTTGTCACTTCCCTTTACTTCTCAATTCTGAAAAAAAAATTAACAGAAAATGATTTTATATTTTCTTTTTTAAATTAGTTCATATTTTTTAGTTTATATAGTTTTTAAAATGAAATTTCAGAACCAGTAACGGCAAAAGACAAAAGAACTCAACACGGTCTTCAAATAGTAGACGGCACAAAGCCAAGATAAGGACGGAGGTGGTGGTCTTCAGTGGGTACGTATGACAGTCCTATAACTAACAATAAGTACAGGAGCATATATAGCCTACACCTCTGAAGGAGAGTAGAAGCCCAGCCAAAAAAACATATCCACATTTTTAACATACACAGAAATGAAGTATAACTATAGCCGACACATATATACATATATATATATATATATATATATATATATATATATATATATATATATATATATATATATATATATATATAGGCCAACAGATCATAAGCTTATTTTTGTTAAAACCATGCATCATTGCTGTTTACATTCTCGTCGTCTATTTTTTTCCGTAATCCGAATCTTTAAAAGCGATAATAATCATTTCGCAATTATTATTTTTTTCTCTATGTATTATTTTTATGTTCACTGAGTCTTTTTAGGAATCCGTTTTTAATTTCTTAACATCGTTGGACATAATACATAGGCCTAATGCGAGTGCTGTATTTTTCAATTTATTTTATTTTAGGCCTAGTGTAATTTTTACTCGTATTCGATACGCACTCGTTTTGAAGGTATCGAAACAATCGCTGTGCGGAACCAAGTGCAAAGCGCGCGCTGCACCGTCTAGTCACTTTACTAGGCCTTCACTCCCTCTCCAAGACGACACGTGGGTCTCGTTTTCGATACCGGGCATAGTTTGTTTTGAGGCCACATTGGATCTTTTATAAAACTTTTAAATTTGCCACTTCACTTATTTATTTTAAAAACTCTATAATCTCATTATTCTTTACTTACTACCTAGAAAAATGTAGATCTATACTCTAATAAACTAATACTATTTTTAAATACAATTCTACTAAATTTATTATAACTTCATAATTATTTATATGCTCGTGTTTAATTCATTACAGGTTTTTTAAGTGTTGAATTTTTTTAGTAGTTTATAGCATTTTTAAATTGCATTTATAAAAGCATGCATACAGTACAGTAACAGCTTTACAATAAATAATGTAGCCGATTAGTCTTTGAAAACCTAAACAATCTTATGCCGTCAAACAAATGAATTATAAAATACGTCTTAAGCCTAGAAAAAAGGTGTTCTTTATTTTTTTTTAAATAGGACGTAGGCTATAACTAAAGCTATGTCTGTATGTAGGAAATTATGTATCACTATATATTTTTTGTTAATTTTTACTGTCATTACTGGTGCACTCTAACTTAACTAGTTCGCCCGCTCTCAATCTAAGTTCCATAGAATATAAAGCAACGACAATATACAAGCTAAAGGCAAAATTAAGTTACTACGGTCCTATATAATGTACACATTTTGCGAAAGCTATAAGTATATATAAAATGTAATTTATCTACCATATGCGGAGACTTTTTTAAATATAATTACATTTTAATTCAATAATTAATTTAGGATTATGGAATTTTAAGTGGAATTAAAAGTGGAAGAAATGGCCCATTTTTTATATATATATATATATATATATATATATATATATATATATATATATATATATATATATATATATATATATATATATATAATCAAAGTCCACCATGATATACAACATTATCATAGCGTTGAGGTTGTGGCTAGTAATGGCGAACACATTACTATTTTAATTTTGACACGATTCACGTAGCCCATAACTACGTTTAACCCGCTTTGTTTACGATTCTATTTTTCCGCGATTGTCACTAATAAACCTAGCCTTCATTGGGTAATATTGCAATCATTTCCAGTGGGCGTAATTTATCAAATATGTTGCATATTATTATGTTTAGTATTCGTGATATGCATGAAGCCATGCATTTTTATCCACAAATTCCACAAAAAACCAGACCACCCAGCCCACGCATTAAATTGCACCGAACCACCCCCTAATCTAACAGTAATAAAAAAAAATTATCATGAGAACAGATAGAGATTTTTATTTTATTTTAAAATACAACATATGCTATGTGACAACTTTTATACCCTTTCCCCCTCCCTCACGAAGGTCGTTTATTAAGACCTTGTGTTTTAAAATTCAACTAATTTTTTTTTCAAATTACGTGGAGTTGAATTGTGCATTTTTTTGCATGAGCCAAGTTAAATTTATATCATAAAATCCAACGATTAAAATTAATAATTTTTTTTTACTATTTCACTAGCTTGCAACCACAGTACGTGAAAATTTATTATGCAGACAATTAATCCCCTCAAATTTAATAGTATTTATATTTTAGCAGTAATTGACAAAATGACTCATGTTATTGTTCATTATGTTTTTAAGTACTGTCCAACGTAAAAGTCACATTTGGAAACTCTGAGGGTATACTGCAAGCATAAGCAGACTTACTGGAATATATCTAACTTGTACCCAAACGGCATTTTTTTTTGCTCGGTCCTTAAAAAAGAGTTTTTCAAAAATCCATCGAATAATTAATTGCCATTCCATGGATTGGTATATAAATTATAATTCTATAACTTATTAGTAGATCTAGGTTTTAACAGTTTATAATAATGTATCGGCGTTACTAAACTACCCACCAAACCATGTAAAAGTACATTGCCTTGTGTGAAAAAGTAAGAATTATTTTTATAAGCTAAACTTACTCATTAAACATTTAAAGTAATAATTTAGTACACCAATCGTATTAAGCTATACATACATTTGTCATTACCTTCTCATTTATTTCTGTAGCATTTTTATTAGTTACAAAAACAATATAGGCCTACTTATGTAAGAATTAGATCATAATTTTTTTAGACGTTTTAAAAGTATTTTTTCTGTTTTACTTTATTTCTGGTCGAAGAATCATGCTCCTACCTGGCAATCGGATTGCATTGTGGGCCTCTCACACACTTACCGTCCGCCATTTTCGTTGCGTTCAGTGTATGTTTGTGGTGTCTTGTACGTCCTTTGTTTACACGTGGAAGATAGGTAGGTCTTTAAAATTCATCATAGGCAAATTTGCTATGTTTATTTTGTTACTTGAGATAAAAAACAGGCTACTTACACGCCGACAATATCCTCTGAAAATGTTCATTAGCCTAGGACATGACCGTGCGTCAACGCAGCACGCCCGCCACGGCAGCATCAACCGCTTGTTGCGCGGTTTCATTTTTATTGACATAATTCAAATTTAACTCCCAACAGGAGGGTTTCCTTTAAAATTAAATATCAAGCTGCTAATCTAAACAACACCTCATTTTCCAACCTCATTTAGTTTGCTGAAATTTTATACCCGCTGCTCCTCCTACCTTCTTCCCCCCCCCCCCTCCATTACTTAAATAAAATGCTTGAGAAGCGGAAGAGGTGGTGGTGTGACTAGTCTAGATTCTAGATCTTCTAGATAAGAATCTGCTGAAGTTTCATCTGTCCATTGGCCGGCAGTACCCTTACCCCTCCTAGATCGGAATTAAAAGTGCACACATAACTTAATCCCTCAGATAGTTTGCTATTTTCAAATGAAGTGACTACTCCGAAAAAGATTTTTCTCCCCAAGTCTCCACTTGGTCGGCAAAAGATGGTTATGCGCAGTGACCAGGGTTAGGGTTGTAAATACACGCATGAGCAGTACCATCGAAAACATCGCCACGATGGCAAGTCGTAGTTTCTCTCCAATGCGCATGCATATCTTTTCCTGGCTAGCATTGGCCATTTTCAAATATGATGGCAGCATTCTTGAAATTAAACTGTTGCAAAACTACTAGATTTTCTAGATCTAGAGATCTACACTGAGTAGTATAAACTCAATATATTCCTTAGGATAAAACAAAAAATGTAAAGTCTAGATAAATATATTGCCTAAGTGCCCAGAATGAAGATTAACAGATCCTATACCATCTAGGGATGATTATGGATTCCGGTGTCCGATAATAGAATCTTCTTTAAAAGGGGGTATTGGGTTGTTGGTAGTATTGTTCTCAACTAATTTTAGGGTTAGGCGTATGGTAGGACCAGGGTTGGGTTAGGGGCAGGGTTAGCATCGACATTAGCCAGCCATGTGTGCATTTAGTTAACTACCAGTAACCGTACACCCCTTTTTTAAAGAAGATTCCATTATTCGACACCGATTTAAACATTCTCCCCCATCTAGATCTACTTTTTTTTTTTTAGTTTTTAATAATTAGGCCTATATTGGCAATGCATTATGTTGTGACATTGTTAAAGAATATTATTTCTGTTCTGATGATAATGTAATGATAAAATATTTCAGAACCATGAACTCTCAACAGACAGAACCTGATCCAGATGCCATCAAAATGTTTGTGGGTCAGATCCCTCGAAACTGGGATGAGAATGATCTCAAAACCATGTTTGAGGAATTTGGACCCATTCATAGTATGAATATACTTAGGGACAAGATTACTGGCCAAAGCAAAGGTAGTCTTTATTACAAAGATTGTCTGTTTCTTACATAAGTAAAGAATTTTAGTCTTGAGTAGCGGTTTTTAAAAATGACTTAATATTTTCAGGATGCTGCTTCGTTACATTCTTCACTCGTAAAGCTGCTCTTGATGCACAAAATGCTTTACACAATGTTAAAACATTGCCTACGGTATGTATTTTTGTTGCTGAGGTGTAGTAGAAAGTAGTACTAACTGGTTACTTTACTAATTGAAATGTTCATATTTCCAGATGCATCATCCGATTCAGATGAAGCCAGCAGATAGTGAGAAAAAAAGTGGCGCATATGGTAATTGTTTAAAACATGTGAAATTTGATTAACAATCTATCTGTAAATTTACCTTTTAGTAGTTAGTTTCTTGCTGCTAGGAACAAAATGCTTAATAGATAATATAGGACCATTTTAGTGTTGCTCAGATTCTCTTTAGTGTGTATTCTACTCTGCTTTTCCATGGTTCAACTTTACCCAAAGTTGACTTGTAATCAGGAAATAACTTTGATCATACAGCTGAAGACAGAAAATTGTTTGTTGGCATGCTGTCGAAAAAATATAATGAAAATGATGTGAGAATGATGTTTGCTCCCTTTGGAACTATTGAAGAGTGTACGGTTTTGCGGGATCACACAGGAACCACAAGCAAAGGTATAAAGTACTTTTAAATACCATTTTCAGAAATATATAGTGTATAATAGGTACATGGCTTTTAAAAAGTTTCAAGTGCACAAAATTTATTATCGCTAATTAGCACTGTCTTTATTTTATGGTTTCATATGCATATAGTTAGATTACTCCTGTGCCATGCAGAAATTTCAAGTAGTAATCTTTTTTTTTCTAAAGGATGTGCTTTTGTTACATTTGGTACCAGACAAAATGCACAAAATGCTATTAAGAGCATGCATCATTCCCAGACAATGGAGGTAATTACAATTATTTAAGATTTTTACAGACAGACTTTGTGCTTTTCATATTGTTTTCTATTTGTGGGTTCTTAAATGTTAATCTATACTTTTTAGGGCTGCTCCTCTCCCCTAGTAGTCAAGTTTGCTGATACCCAGCGGGAGAAAGAACAGCGTAAAGCACAACAGATGAACCAGAATGTGTGGAACACAGGATTCGGGGCGCTAGGGCCTCAGTACCTTGCAGTATGTATAATATATCAAAACTTGTTTTTTTAAGTAGCAAGCAACATATCTGCAAACTATTGCAGCTTAATTATTGTCAGAAATTGTAGTGAACAATTTACTTGCTCTAAAGCTTATATTTTTTTTTAAAGTTTGTTTCGCATTTTCAATTCATAATTTAATGGTTTTTGTATTATCTTGTAGCAGTTGTTGCAGCAGGTCACAGCCGGAAATATGAATAGCTTTAACAACCAGCAACAAGGTTAGTGTGGCATTATGTGTTGAGTCAAATGCTTTTTTTTTTTTTTGTAATTGTTGGCATTTCTAGAATCTTTTATCTACTTTAAAGCAATTTTATATACTGAGCATTTCCTGTCTGTCCCTTGCTCCTTAGTTATTTTACATTTTCGGGTAAAGTGTACTTATTTTAAAGTCTCTGAAAATGTGGCTTAATCTGTGTTCTTCATGCTTTTATTGAATGTCGCTGGTATTTGTGCAAATAGCCAAGCCTTTTTATTAATCCTTTTTCTTATGTCTCTATAGGAGGCTTGGGTCTCAACATGCAGCAACTTATTGCAGCAGCTGCTGCAGCCGCAGGAAATAACCCAGGTAAATTTTCTTGTCTTGAAAGGATTTCTATGAAATTAGGCTGTGTTGATTATGGTTTCAATTTTACTCAAGTTATGATAGCAAAAGGCTGATTTTAGCATTAGTTGCTCATTTTCATGTCCAAAAGTTTTATTTTTAAAATTTTAAGGTTTTCAAAATCTTTGCATTGTGTAACTGTTCTATCCATGCATTTTTTTGTTTGTTTGAATAGTTAATTGATTATTTGAATAAGATTACATGCATGAACTAAAGATGTCACTGAAATTGAAAACTTTTGTCAATAGTGCATGTGCCTTTTGTTAATTTGTACTTTTCTTATGCATAGATGTAACATTTCCAAACCTTTAAATATTGTTTGTTGGTATTGTCTTTGATGCTCAGTTTTTAAAAGATGTGTTGGGTCTTTAAAAGCACTTTTTTATAGCTCTTGTGTGTTGGTCAGGTTTTTTTGTCTTAACTTTAATCACTGTAAGCTTATAGTCACTATCATGACTCTTTGATTTTGCGGCAGCTCTCTTGGCAGCATTGGCCAGTTTGGGGACCTTGGCAAATAGTGCAGGCAACCAACAGGGCATGAACTCCGTGGGCAATAACAACCAAGGTGGGCATCCTGCTGACATAATGCTTGTTTACCCTGTGCATTTTCTTTAAAACTCTTTTTGTATTGTCTTTGTAAACCTCTTGTTCTGTTCAGAATATTTTTTTTCCCATTGCACTATAGTTGCTGCATAGACATTTTTTTAATGCAGGTTTGCACTACACTGCACTTAATTTAGGTGGGTTTTTCTATGTGCTTCTTGATTTGTGTTACCTACTTTGTGAATAATTTACACATTGAATATTGCACTGTTATGAGTAATATGGTCTGTACTGTTAAATTTGATGTTATACTCTAAAACAAGTGAAGTTGTACCATTGTGGGGTTTCTATTTACGCTTATCTCAGTATTTTATGATTTTGACACTCCAGTTTCTTCTTACATCAGTGTTAATGGCTTTGGATGATTTGGTTTTAATTAGTCATGAAAAAACATTGATTAATAATTTTTCTGGCTAAGTGTTAAATATTCAACTAGGTCATTCAGCTTTATATTGTTCAGTTCCTTGTGATTTAAACTACTGCAACCCAACCAGGTGGGGGTTGTTTAGAAAATCTTGTGAGAACGAACTCGACCATGCAAATGTGCAGTGGCTTTTAGAAACTAGTAGAACTATGATAACACATGAGCTTATACTTTAACTAATTTTGGGAAGAGGTGATTGTTATATTTACAAAGATAAATTGTGCTGTTTTTCCATTTAACCATTAATCTCCCGTAACGCCCGCTGCCGCCCGACACCGTTAATGTCCCGTAACGCCCGCTACCGCCCGCTACCAACCTGTATCTACTCATAGTAAAACAACTATTATTTGGTCCATAAAATATTGGATTATAGTTTTTAAACAACTATTTAAGGATAGTTAAAAAGTTCAACTTCCTTTTACAGTTTACCAAAACGAAATATAATTGTAAACACGCGAGTTAATGATTTTACAAAAAAATGGATTTTCATAAGTTTGTTCAATTATCTTCAACGTTTTCAGGTAACAATACTAACATTACTAATATGAATGCAGATAGATCTAGTAGTGAATCGGGTGAAAGTGACATTGAGTGTGAGGAAGATGATATTGCTAATAATGAACTAGATCTAGATCTATCTGATACTGATGATTTAAACCCTGATGATGGTGACGAAGTTTCTCTAGATGTAGATAACCCATCTTATAACTGGAGTGATGATCTGAATCCAGTGGAAATAGAGATGTTTACTTCTGGTGTTGGGCCCAATATGGGGGATATAAACTTAAATTATAAGTCCCAACCAATTGATTTTTTTAAGCTTTTCTTTTCTGATGAATTGTTAGAATTGATTGCTAACCAAACTAATTTGTATGCTGTGCAGGCTAGTGCCAAAAACTTCACTCCGGTATCTATGATCGATGTAAGCACATTCATTTACATCAACATGATGTTTGGCATACACAAACTGCCTGCATACCACCTTTACTGGTCAACAGATAATTTATTTAGGGTACCCTGTGTGGCAGATGTCATGTCCAGAAATAGATATCAGGAAATAAGTAGATATTTCCATTTGGCTGACAACACTAAGTATATACCTAAGGGACAGATAAATTATGATCCCCTATTCAAGATTAGGCCCGCCATTACCACCATACAGTTTGCATGCAAAGAATATTTTAGACCTGGTACAGCTATATCTTTTGATGAAGCAATGATTCCATTTAGGGGTAGACTGTCATTCAAACAGTATATTAAGGGGAAGCCTCACCCATGGGGGGTAAAAGTTTGGTGTGCCTGCGACTCTGCCACTTCTTATCTTCTCGATTTTGAATTTTATGCTGGTAAATCCGACACGGCTCTACCCAATGGACTTGGATACCATGTTATATGGTCTTTGGGTCAGCGTTTCCTACACAAATATCATCATTTTTATTATGATAATTTTTTTTCTTCGATAAAATTATCGGTGGATTTGATGACCAACGACACCTATTCTTGTGGAACTATTCGCCAAAACAGAAAGCACTGGCCCAAAGAGCTGACAGGAAAATTAAAAGTCAATCACTGTGAGTGGAGGCAAATAGACAATTTAGTTGCTTGCTGGTGGAGGGATAAACGTGCCATTTCAATGTTGTCCACCAATGCATCACCTGTTTGGAACACAGCTTCAAGGCGAACAAAGGATGGCGCTGCCGACAAGCAGATTCCCCAGGCAGTTCTAGTGTACAATGCTAATATGGGAGGTGTAGATAGGCATGACCAACTCAGGTCCTACTATCCAATTGGCAGAAAGAGCCATAAATGGTGGAGATGCTGCCTATGGTTTTTGCTTGAGGTGGCTGTTTTAAACTCATACATACTATTCTGCAACATACCACGCCCCCCTACAGTGAAACCACTAACCCATCTACAATATCACATGAGTGTTGCCCGTAGCTTGATGAAGGGCTCATCTAGGAAGAGGATCCAGAGAGAGTCTACAACTACAGTTGGATTGGCAGTATCTGGTGCTTCTGTTGAACACCACAGGATTAGGCTCCCTGGCCGCAAAAAAGTGTGTTACCAGTGTCGCCAGAAGGATGTCCGCACCGAAGGAAGTAGGAGACCAGAGACTGTTTTTGGATGTGTTTTGTGCAATACACATTTATGTGATGAACTCTGCTTTGCCCAGTTCCATGTTCAGCTCAAATAAATTACATTTTATGTTATTTAAATAAAGAAATAGTTATCTAAAATGCAGTTTTTTGTTTTTTTCGTGTTTTTTAAATTTATTTTGCAAATACCTATATGTTAAATACTGACATATTTGGTATCAGTTTTTAGAGCATTCAATTCTCTACAATATAAGATTTTTTAAAATTTAATTAGTTATTTACTGAAATGAGTTTAATTGATTGCTGTAAAATTAGTCATTTAATCATTTAGAGTTATTCCCCTTACGCTGGGACTCCATGGTTGGTAAACTTGGAGATGCTATGGGACATTAATGGTTAATCAGAAAATAACTTATTTTATATTATGGACTAAGCAGTATGTGTAGTTGTCTATTATGCCCATGCAAATTTTATCTTCTGAGTATCCTGTGTTGAATTGCATTTGATGTATTTAGCATGGAATCATTTAAAACATTATCAAATTAGCGTAAGATAATAACTTAGGAGGCTTTTTAGAATATTTTTTTAAGGAAGGTTTTTACTAAATATTTTACTTATTCTTAAACAAATTTTAAATAATTAATTTTTATTTTATGAATGTCCCATAAATTTGCACATCACTTTGTTTTTCATAATGGTGCTGAACTTTTCTGAATATGTCATTAAAAATTACATTGATCAGAATAATAAAGGCCTACCCAGGTTAAATTTTATTTTAAGGTGCTAACATAAGTCATGAGTATTCACACACTGCTGGCATTAGTTTTTTACTAGATATTTAGATTTCTATAATTTAATTGTCAAATAATCAGCTGTTTAAAACCACAGCATAATTTTATGACAAAAACCGCATTGATCAGTTTATGGTTTAATCCCATGCTAAGTGAAAAATGTGTTTTCATTAAATTATCTTTACTTCCTTGTTCCAGTTATGCTTGTTTGTAGTGAAAGCTTGTTTGTTTTAATGCCTGGCTGCATTGCTAAAATATTTAGTAAAAGAAATTGTTTCTTTTTTCTTTCTTTTTTTTTTTAAAAAAAATTAGCATTTAACGCTAGTTGTTATGGTTTGAGCCTATTTTTGGACATAAATTGCAAACTTAGAAATTATTTAACCTGTAAGATAGACCAGTGATATTTCATACGTATCATTTACATTTGAGTTTTTCTTTCTTTTTTTTTTACATGCAGAGTTTGAATTATGTAATGTTTTACTGTTGAAATCGTGCATTTGTTAACAGTTAATTTTATTTTTAGGTGGGATGGGAGGCTTTGGTCAAATGGGCAATAGTGGAAATTCAGGTGAGAATTTTAAATTAGAATTTTTCAGTGCCAATTGGCTATAATATAATAAACCCTAAACTTATTGGTAGTAGGCTGACACATTTGCCTATTACTAATTATGTATTTATTAAAAATTGTGAGTATTTAATTTTGAAATATTTTTTTTTCTATTATCCAGCCTTACGTGGAAATCAGTTTGGTAAGGATTAAATTATGTCATTTATTCATTGATACATAGAAATATTTTTTTCTTCGGTAAGAGCACATTGCTAATTATAATATTGATTATGTATTATTGCAACAATTTTCCTAGAAATTGCATTTTCACAATCCCTATCTTGTTAGTTCAGTAAGATCTAGGTAGCAATTGGGTTTTTCTGGTGGTTTGGGTCATTATATCTTCTTTCAAAAGCAATTAGAAATATTCAATCTTGCTATTAATTTTTATATTCCTTGAATTTGTGCATAATACCAAATCATTCCTACACGGCTTTTAGTCTATGTATTGTCAAGCATTCCTTTAATTTTAAAATAGTTTATTTTACTTAATTAAAGTTGAAATAAATACCATAACTGTAAACTCAAATTAAAAGGCATTTATCAAGCATTGTTAAACAAATTAATCCTAAACTGTTTCATGGTGTTTTCTGTTAAAAATTCACAGGTCAGTCATGATTGAAATATTGTTTACAAATGGTCTTTTTTTTTTTCAATTATAAATACAATTTTACATTTTAAACTATATTTTGCTGAAATTGTCACATGGCGTATGCCAGTTACACCTTAGCTGCCCATGACCCTGTGATTTTAAACACCATGATAGCATACCTATGAATGAAAATTAGGTTCAGTTCATTTGTATAGTCATAATATTTTGCCTTTTGTGGGAATTAAATTTAAAAGGTTTTTTTTTATGCATATAGAAATTATGATTTGTAACATTTTAATCACACAAAAAAATCTAGTCTTCAATCGACGCCTTGATTGGAAATTATTTTTATTTAAAAAATGTTAAGATGTTTGTTAACAATAAAGTTATTTTTTGTATATTTTTTTTATCAGAATTGTATTTCCTAATTAGTAATTATTTGTGTATTCCTTATATCTAATTACTTTTCTATTATTAGCTGTTATCTAGGCCAATTATTTTTTAAACAGGAAATATGGGAGGAGGCTCCGGCCTAGGAAATATGGGAAACAGTGGCATGGGGGGTAATATGAATGGCTTTGGCTCAAACAATTCAAATAGCATGGATGCTCTAAGCCAAGCTTATTCAGGAATTCAACAATATGCTGGTAAGCAGATAGTTCATCATATTATTCTTAACCCAAAATATAACTTGTTTTAATTTTTAAACTGCATTTACTACTACTTGTTTTACAATTGATTTTTCTATTAATATATTGGCAGCATCTTTTCCAAATGCCTTCAACGCTCAGGCAGCTCAATTGCAAGCTGCTAACAATAATGTTGGCGGCAAGCAACAGGAAGGTATGAACCAAGAAGGTGTGCATTTTTTGTTTGTGGTTTGTAGGAAGCATGCTTTAATAACTTATAAATAATTTTTTACTTTAAATTTCATTACTAAAGCTTAAAGGCTTTATTCTTTTTCATTAGATAAATATGAAAAAAAAAAAAAAAATTATATTTAAATTACCATTCTTCCCCATAAATATGTAGGCAATTTCCTTACCCAATCTTTCACAATAGATATCTTATTTTTGTCTTGCTTGACACAAGTTACTGAAAAAATGGATTTCTTGCAGGCCCTGATGGAGCTAATCTTTTTATTTATCACCTACCTCAAGAATTTGGGGATGGTGACCTTATGCAGATGTTTATGCCTTTTGGTACTATCATCTCTGCCAAAGTTTTTATTGATAAACAGACCAATCTCAGCAAGTGCTTTGGTAGGTACTACTGCTTAAAATCAGTCTAAAATTCAATTGAAATTCATTCATTATTTATAAAAATTCTTTATCGATTGGGTTTAGAAAAATCTTTAAGTGTACAAATCTTTCTATACATAGTTATGGGGAAGATACTACATTTTAAAAATTCCATATTAAAGCTTTAGCAAACTAAATACCTTCAGGCTCTATAATATTCATATTTTCTTACAGGTTTTGTGAGTTATGATAATCCCCTAGCTGCACAAGGTGCTATTCAGTCTATGAACGGCTTCCAGATCGGCATGAAGCGACTCAAGGTGCAGCTCAAGCGACCCAAGAATGACAGCAAGCCTTACTAGACAGACAACAGTTCATGCGGGCAGGACGAAAAGAGGGAAAGGTGAGGTTATTGTTTTGAAATAATTTTTTATTGGCAGCATTACGGTTTTTGCCCGTTGCATGGCAATGTTTATGGTGCTATGGTTTTTGTAATTTATAAAAAATTAATTTTAAAAAAACTTAACTTCTGTGAAGTTAGATATTTACTCTATTATAATTTATGCATTGTGTTCAGTTGAATTCAGTGTTGGTGTAAAACTAGTTTTAAAAAGTAATTTTTTAAGATGGTGTTTAATTGAATGTTTTGTTTAGCTTAATCACAATAGTTGTTTATTGTGTGCTATGGTTTTAAACAAAATTTAAGTGTCTTGCATTTATTTCTATTTGTTTGAAAAGCATAGGTACAAAAATTAGAAGTCATATTGATACTAACTAGTGAGTTATTGAAAATATGAGCTAGGTTAATTGGTTGCATTTTTAAAGGTTACTTGTAACTATACTATAAGCACTTTAGTATTGGCATCTTTCACAATAGCACTGCATTCTTCTATCATTTAAGTTTGGTATTGTCAATTTCTATTTAGCAGTATTAAAAACCAAAGCATACACTCTTTAAAAAATTTACCAAAATCCTGATTTTTCATCATAGTGGGTTTCTTGCACTTTTGGATACTTGGTACATTTGTATTAAGAAAATAACTCAAATGAGAGATTAAAAAATTGTATTTATTTATAAAGTTATAAAGTACTATTTTTATGACCATATTAATTAAAAAATAATCATATTCTCCCAATCTTACAAGCTCTCTACAAAAAGTTTTATATCCATCATCATATTGTATTTGGCATCATTGGAAAGCTGTATTTGATATTTTCCATCATCCCGGAAACACCCACAGCTTTTAATCAGCTTTACAAAATAGACAAATATGGTAGTTTTGTGAACTACTTTTTGTTAGCTTTTGCTGTTTTTCTCAATTTACGGCTTTTTGACACTAAAAAGCCTACTACTTTTTTATTCATCAAATATTGCTCACCATATTTTCAGCAATTGTTCTTCCTGATAAAAATTGTTAAAAATAGAAATAAACCAAACATATCCCCTTAAAATACAAATTATCTTGCAAAATCACAAAATTTATAGTGCTTAATCTTTTCATTTTTAACAAATACCATGATCTATCATTTTGTTAAATCTAATTGACTGATTTTGCTTAACTGGTTAATAAAGATTAAAGATAATGGGCTCTCGAGTGCTCTGAAAGAAAGTTTTTTAATTTTAAAAGTTACCACTTGTTGAAACGTAGCGTCACCCATTGGAACTGACAGTTATTGGAGTTCACCTGTTTTTGTGAATTCACATAATGAAGAAACACCACAGAATAATTAGAGGAAATCAAACAGAAAGTTGCCATTACTCTTTTGCTTGAGTATACACAAACTTTTAACTCGTGTCTTCTTTTTTTTTTTTTTCTAAGTAGGCTGCCTTTTAATCCGGTGTTAAGTGCAAATAATTCAATTCATGCTACTTTGTTGTTGATGTTCACAATATACATGACTCTTAAGTTGTTTACAAGATTCCCCATTTTTAAGCCAACAAAAATTTGCATATTAAGCTAATCTTTTCCCCTCCCTGGCTTTCCCTCCTTTTTTGGTGTGTATTTTTTTTTTTTTTTATAATTTCTGATAAAATTTTGATTGGGTTTTGAAGGTCATGTCATTTGCTGTAAGAATATTTTTAACACTTGTGTGTTATTTTTTTGAAAGAGTCATGGTCAACAGAATTTAATACATGGTTTTAAATATGTTTGTTTTGTCTCATAAAAGGTTTAATATTCTTTCATTTACAATTTAAATCTTGTTTGCATGTATGTAAATTAACATGGCCAGATTTTGATGTGGCACTGTTCATGTATGTAAAAGATATTGGCACTATACATTACCTAGGTACATTGTAATACATATGATTAGATTGGGTGAATGTCCATCATGTACATATTTATAAATTATTCCTGTATTAAGACATTTGGCATCCACTTTGCTAACATTTTTGTGTAATTTTATCATGCTTTATTTGTAATGTTGATTGACTGTTTTACTTTTTCTTCTATGTAGAGAACACGTTGGCGTCTGGCGTGACATGGCGTGTGTCTCCTGTGTCCCTGTGGCGTCGTCGTGCGTCCGTACTACGTCCCCATCGTGCATTTGTTTTTTCTTCTCCACTGTCCATGTGTCCAGCAAGCAGTACTCGTCGGTCGGTCGGTTCCTTGTTGTCAACGTTTATTTTTTATTTCTTGTTATTGCTGTTTGTTGTTTCTCCTGTAGTTTTCTAGTGTATCCCCATGCTGGGGTACCTCTTGTGCTTTTAGTTTTGTATGCATACAAGATTTGTTTATTAAATTTTACTTAGATTTGGGTTTTTCAGTTATTAAATTTGGTTTAGTAATTGCTGAAATGGGTTAATAATTCTCTTAATAATTTACATGGAAGACTGTTTTGCCACCAGCATTTTTATTTCTGATCAAGCACAAATATTTTTAGTATTCAATAGACGTGTTCTTTGATTATTTTTCTCAACATAAAATGTATTGGTATGGCAATCTGAAAGTGTACATATTTTTAAACTTTTGAATTTTAATGGGGTTAATTTGTATTATGTATTTAGTTCAGTATGTTAAGTGTTTCAAATTGAACATTTACAATATTTTTGTTCAGATGTTTGTCTAGTGCTGCAGCTTGCAAAAAAAAAAAAAACTAAACATTAATTACAAGATCAAATCAAAATATTTTTTTCTGCTCAGAAACAAATCACCAAAATATAAAACAAAAATAGGTGCCCCAGTTTCGTATTTTAATTGTGATTTAGTACTTCCCCATGTATGCCTCTGGATCATTATTAATATATATATATTTATATACTGCTCTTTATTTTTTATTATGAATAGCTAACTTATATTTTGAATCATTGTTTGCTGTGCTTAAACTTTTCTGCTTAAATTTTTCTACGTCTGTGAGAAAAACAATTGCTTCACGATAAAATCAAACTTCATCTTAAACATTGAAGTTGAGTGGCAAAATGTAATGGGAATGTAGTGCCACTTACTGTTTACACGCACGAATGAAATTGCTAATGGTGACATGCATTTGTTTCTTCCATCATGTTTAAACCAACATACAAAAATAAGCATCAATGCTTCTACTTTCTCTACTTTGAACTGCAATTGTCAACTGCAGAACTGGTATTAGTGCAAATAGTACGTAACTGGAACCAAGCGTTTTTATACATTGTCAGATCTTTGAACAGAAAAAAGTATTTCCCTTAAAAGCTGACAATCAGTATTTCATGTCCTTTATATTTGTCTTTGTTCCACACTAGTCATAAGCAAGTACTCCATTCCCCACTTGTCACAACCTGTTTTACTGTTTTTTATTTGGCGGGCAGTGTTGTAATGTTAAAATCTGTCTATTTATGTGTGGAAATGTATTACACATTTGACAAATAATCTGAGGTCATTTTCCCATCCCTCAGTTTAATGTTCTTTTTCTTAAATTTATTACCAGGGAAAATAGTTTTTACCCAATGTTGTTTAAATAAATCTCAAATTTTTTGTGATTGGAATGACTAATTCCAATGTATGTCAATATTGCCTCTGCGATGGCAGATTTTTTGTAGAGAAAGAATGAAAGTACCTGTTCTCAGGAAATTCTTGTTTGTCACTGTCGATTTGTCTGGTGTCACTAAAAAAATATATATAAAGTATTGCAATTTTCAGTGTTCAACTTGTTTCTAGAGGGCAAAGGAGGCCTTTCAATAACTGTTTGTTAACATTTTTGTTAATTAGAATAGAAACTGTAGAAAGGTGTAGCTGAAAAATAAGCATTCTGATAGTGGTTTTAAGATTGTTGAATCAGCTATAAAAACAAATTATTGGCACATTAATTGTACATTTAATACTGGTTATTGTTTATTCCAGTTCATCAAAATCTATAACCTAGACAAGCCGCAAACAAATGTTTATATTTCTTTTTATAATCAGAAACATTTAGAACTTTTTTTTTAAAACTACCTTCTCTGCAGCTTTGAGTTGCAACAAATCAGTTTTCTCTTTGTCATTATTTTAAGGGTTTGTATTGTATCTTTGTGCATTTTTTTTTATTTTGGATTCGTACCTTTTTGTTACTTCAAAACAGTTTGGAAAAAAAAAAGAAAAAAAGGTAAAAATAAAGTGTAAAATTATACTCCTAATGTGTTTGTTTTTTGTTTAGAACATAACTTTATCCAGATCACTTATCTGCAATTAATTTATTAATGGAATGTGTGCTGTATGGCCTACACTAGAGGTCAGCTCGTGGCTCTTTTGATGTCAAGATGGCTGCGGCTCTCCAGCTCCTTGCACTAATATTAAGTTATATTATTTCATTTTCAAAACTCAACAAATATCAATCTGCAACAAAAAACTTAAAACAGGATAAAACCACTCATCAGAGAATAGGTGAGGTAGAAAGTATACTGACAGCCGTGCCGTGGCAACAATTCCCTGCTTTTAAATAACAAATCAAATGTATTAAAATGGTAAAATAATGTGGCTGTTAATAAACTGGGACATTTTGTAACTTTAGGCTCTTCCGTCTCAAAAGGTTGCAGACCTCTAGCCTACACTTGTCAGAAATATTATATGGATTAATACAAGCATTGCCATTAGACATTTCAAGTGAGTGGTGACACAGAATCTGTTTAGTCATTGCCCAAAACTTTTATTACTAAAGGAATTCAGTGTTCATGCAGACCCCCGAATTTAGTTATTGGAAACCTAAAGTTAAAGCAAGTATTTTTAAAATGTGTCTAAAAACTACACCAAATGCCTCAAACCCCACCCAGCCGTGCCCAAAAAACCTAGCCCTAACACCCCACTAAAATTATGAAATTAACTGAACAGTGGAAGAACTGATTTGGTAAGATAAGCTTCTATTTTGATCCATGTCTGTTTAAAAAAAAAAAAAAAACTTCAACACTTAAAAGATACATTTATCTGTGAAGACAACAGTCAAATTTTTTGTATCAAAATCCACTTGGTTCAGGGGTGCAAAATTTTCTGAGATTTCCTGATTTGAAAATCACATTGTTTTCAATTTTTTGGTACTTGCAATTACAATTAACGGGTATGCTAATTGAAAAATTTAGCTTTCTATGAATTATTTTTAAATCCTTTCGCGCGTAGTGGGTTCAGTAGAATTATCAGCATTGGCGTGAAGTTCTTCATTGCGCTTCCACTTTGATTTTCTTAACCGACCATGAAAAAAAAATCTGATACATTTTAAGTTCAAAAGGAGCAGCCTTTCTTCAATAGAAAATAATTTTTAACAGTAAACAGACTACCATTTTTTGTACTTTACATGACTAACCTAAGGGTCATCCATTTAATGACAGGAGGGGGGGGGGGGGGGGGGGGGTCCGGGTCATTGTGGACGTCCACATGTTGAATTTAACAACAAATACTAAAGATTTAATTTTAAAAAACCGCACATCAAATGTAGGTTAAACTACACCTATCTATAATCGACAGTTCTCGTGTTTAATATACCCAGTACAACGGCTGAATAAATGTATAAACAAGTTAATAAAAAGTCTAGTGACAATTTAAGCGCAATTTCCTTATGTTACCTAAAAATAGATAGTGATCAAGTTTGTTTTTAAAAAATGTGAAAAAATGATTAGGCCTAGCGAAATAAACCTTGTAATTGTAACTCCCTATCACTCTCATATAAATTATAAATAAATTAATAGGGTACAAAAATAACGTTTGAATTAATAAGTAAACAAGTTAATTTTGCGCTAAAAAAAAGACAACTATATTAACCTATATCAACGGAAATAGTTTTATTTTAACGAGTAGGCCTACACGATGCTCAGTTTAAATGTTCTTAATTATTTTTTTGTGACCGAACGAAAGGATATTTTTGAGAACTTTCTTCGGCAATATTGTTCTAAATTATGGCAGGAATCGATTGGTAAATGTTTCAAGTCGCTAAGTGGTCTGGTTGCCGAGATATTGGCCAAAAACTGCATTTTTTTCCGAGGTTTTTTGGCTTTTCCGGGAAATCCAGGAAGGAATTCCGGGAATTTTTTTGGCCCACAATCATCCTCGGAACTTGCTTAACATATTTGCTTTTGGAACTAGTCCTCGATATTGCTTCGTTGAGGAGGAGATTCGACTCAAAGCTGCGCACATCCATCCATCCATCCATCCATCCAGAAATGACGAGTTAATAATCGCAATTCCTGTAAGGAAATTGCGATAAAAAGTAACTGTATACCACCCGCCTAAGATTAAAAGTGCAGATTTTTTTTTTTGCAAAATTTAATCTAAAATATTTTATGGTATTTCAAGATTTTTTAAAAACAATTCAAACAATTAAAGCATATGTTTAAGAACAGTAAGATCTAGACTAGGATCGATCGTGAAACTAAATCATAACTACATCATTTATTTGTGTCAAAGCCTATGAAGACGTAGACTCCAGGGGCGGAACTACAGTGCCGCCAGACCCCGCAATGCGGGGGGGGGGGGGGGGCACGCCATTTAGGGGCCCAGAGCCGACCATTAATACATTTTTTTATAGTTAAAAAAAAAAAGGAAATTTTCTTTCATTTTTGACTTTTTGATGGTTGTTTTGTAAAAAATTACCGTAGCTGCGGTTGGATTATCTTTATTCTATAGGCACCACTCCATGCTCTTGTATATTCTTTTTCCCTTTGTTTTAAACCACTGTGAAAGCCGAGTCTTTCTCCTACAATTAAACTTATCAAAGATAAGCTAATGTTCCATGACTTATTTCCCTTTTTTAAAAAATAGTCAAATAGGGGTGATCATAAACTCCTTTTAATAGATTTGTACTAAACAAATTAAAAAGCAATTATTTCTCTTAATTATAATTTTTTTATAAGTTAATTACTCAAGAACAACATTGTATAAAAAGGAGATGTATTAAATCAATAATATTTTAAAAATTAATAATATAAATACAAAAACAACATAAACATAACACGAGACACCATTACTTATACAAAGCTTTCATGTTTTATATTATTTTTGACCGACAATATGTTAAATGTTAAAGGCACTTCCATCAGACATAAATTAAAACTGATTTTCACAAAACACACTAATGCACTTACACACTTGACATGATGTCGACAATTTTTTTTTTGATCATCCAATGTTTGTATTTTGTGATTGCATATATATATATATATATATATATATATATATATATATATATATATATATATATATATATATATATATATATATATATATATATATATATATATATATATATATATATATATATATATATATATATATATATATATATATATATATATATATATATATATATATATATATATATATATATATATATATATATATATATATATATATATATATATATATACATACATACATATATATATATATATATATATATATATATATATATATATATATATATATATATATATATATATATATATATATATATATGGGGGGGGCCTAAAAAAAATTTTTTGCGGGGTGGCCCTTGTTTTCTAGTTCCGCCACTGCGTAGATCTAGTCTTTTTTTAACTTTGTAAAAAAACTCAAAATAACCTTTTTACAATTATATATTTAAATCAGTGCGTGAATGTGTTCGCTTGGTCAGGTGTGTAGGGCTAACGGTCGGCGCCACTACAACTAAAGGCGGAAGGTGGTTTATGGAAGTACGTGTAGCGTAAAGTTGAGTAAGAGTAATGTAATAGAGTCACGTTGATTAGCAGAATTTACCCTAACCCGTATAGTCGTTAATAGATAGACAGGCACAAAAAAACCAATGACAAAACGGCCCCGTCAAAAGAGCCCCGTCAAAATAGCCAGCGACATATGGACCCCGTCAAAAAGGCTCCCGATAAATAGGCTCCCGTCATTTAGGCTCCCGTTATATAGGCTCCCGACAAAAGGGCTCCAGTCAATAAGGCTCCTGACAAATAGGCTTCCGTCCTTTTGGTTCCCGACATATAGGCTCCTGTCATTTAGTTTTTTTTCCACAAAACGGCCCCCGTCATTACGACTCCCGACAAATAGGCTCCCGCCATTTAGTTTTTCCACAAAACGGCCCCCGTCATTACGACTCCCGACAAATAGGCTAGCGTCATTTTGGCACACGACAAAAGACTCCTGTCAATTTGGCTCCAGATAAAAGACCACTGACAGTACCGTTTCTGTAGAGACTAAGTCTCCCGGCAAAGCGGTCTCATTGAATATGACACCTGCCAGTGGGACCCCTTCATCAATATTCTTTAGAGTTAGCTTATCCAACACTTAAGTAATACAAAGTATGCATCTCTTGTTCGGCAGGCCTTATTTTTATATTAGTTTATCTATTATAAAATACGAGCCGACCCGCGGCGTATCATACGCCGCTATTTAGTTGTTTTTTCTACTTTTCAGTAATTTATAATTTGTGAATTCGACAGTACCAATGCTGCCACTTTAAATTTTTGCTTTAAAACACTAAAACCCTAATGTCTCCCAGAAGAGAATTATATATATATATATATATAGATAGTATGTTTTAATTTAAGGGTCATCTATCTATGACTTCTATAATTGAGTCGGTTATAGGCTGTTCCAACTCAGTGTGTGGGGAGAAGGGTCCACGCTGTACCTTCCTACCTCCAGTATGCTTGTATAGGTTATCAAAACAAAATGTCGTTATCCTGTAAACATCATGAATATCGTACATTTTCACTTCAGTGCTCGCTTTTATGCAACAGATCTTTATTGTTGTAAATTAAACATTATCAAAATTTTAGAATTTATAGATTTTAGCTGTTAAGGGCTTGATTTGTTTGAGAATTGATGTTGGTTCATGAAAGACAATTTCATTCAGGCATTAAAAAGAGGTTATAGTAGTAGTGGAGGTAGGACAAAATGGTTACTTTTATGCCAATAGTGGTCATACTATTCATTTCTCTGGAGCCAATATGTCGGGAGTCCATTTGTTGGGAGCCCTTATGTCGGGAGCCAGTATGTCCTGAGCCTATTTGTCGGGAGCCTATATGTCGCAAGTCAATATAACGGGAGCCAATAAGTCGGGGCCCTTTTGACGGGGCTATTTTGACTGGGTAGTTTTGTCGGGGGTCGATTTGACGGGGTCATATTAACAGGGCCGATTTGTCCCGGGCCGTTTGGACAGGG